AGCCTGGACTGGCTGTCACGTGGAGAGAGCTGGGGGCGGTGGGAGTGGACAGCAGCTTTGGTCCTTGACCTGCGCACTGAAAGGGTGGCCTTCCAGGAAGAGGAGGGCATTGTGTCGTGGAGCCGTGTGTAGTTTTTCCTGCAAAGAGGAATTGGAGTGGGAGACACTGGAGAGAGAGGCTTGTCTGGAGGTCGGGGTGCAGGCGAAGCAGCCTGCAGCAGCACAGAGCCAGCAGATGCGGAGTCGGGCAGAGGGCAAGTGCTGCCCGTGGGTCTTCAGGACCAGATGGGGGCAGGAGGCAAGACACTGGCAAAGCCCTCACCTGGTGAGGAGAGGGTGCAGTGACGTGGGCCTGGTAGGACCACCCCACCGCTGTTCCTGTTTGGGATGGCCCGGAGGAGGACCAGCAGGCACCAGGTGTGACGTTGGGGTATGGAATGCTTGGGGCAAGATGAGGAGCAAGTTGACCTTTAGAATCTTGGCAATGAAGTGATGGGGCAGCAGGACTCAGAATTAAGGACAAAGTGGGTAGACAGGAAGCCCGCCGGGCTGCCAGGGCCTTCGTCAGGGACCCTGGACCTGGGAAGCCAGCCGGCATGAAGCAGGAGGACAGATGCGTCCCCTACAGGGGTCCTAGGAGACCCAGGAGGCTGTTGTGGGAGGGGTTGGGCCAGAGGTGCAAGCAAGTGGAGTCTTCTGAAAGAGGATGAGGAAGGAGAGGAAGGAGCGCACGGAAGCTGAGATGGGAGCTACGGAAGATTCCAGGAGGGTGTGCTGTGAAGAGAGCTGGTTCTCAGAAGAGGCCTCTGGGTGGGAGGATGGAGTCACCCGTGGTGGGAAGCAGGGAGGGGGACAAGGGGGCTCTCACACGCTGGGAAGGAGAGGACCCAGGCCCGGAGAGGCAGGACAGGCACAGAGGAACCGGCTGGAGGTGGGAAGAGGCTCGGTGCTCTGGTCAGCAGGGCCGAGAGGACAGAGCCGGTGCGGGCCAGAGATGCCCCCTGGGCTATGGTGGGAAGGGGCCTCCCTAGCCGGTTCCCCTGCTGGGCTCCAGGCTCAGCCCTGGCACTTGGATGGGGAAAGCAGGCGGTGGGTTGGAGCCTGCGAGGAGGAGGGGACGGTGTGAAGAGGCGGGAGGTGAGGGCAGGTGAAGGCAGGCGAGGAGGTCGGTGTGCAGGCTGGGCTGCGAAAGCACTAATGGCCTGGAGGTTTTCCTAGGCCAGCGGGCGGGGGATGTAGGGGGAGCACTGCTTTCAGGGGGGCATCTATTCAAATGAGTGTAGCTCAGGAGTGGCCACAGCAGAGGTCCTGCCCCAGACTCTGCATAGCTATGTGGCCAAGCAGACACACATATGAACATGCACATGCGGACACACGCATGTGACCACACACATGGGAACACAGTCTCCCACACGGTTACTCACCAGGGTCGCCTGGCCCGGCAGGCTCCTCGCGCACCGTGGGCAGCGTCTGCTCCCAGGCAGCCCAGTTCACTTCCTCCGACCTGAGGGGCAGAGCAGCTCTGAGCTGCGGAGCCAATGCGGCCTGCTGCGCCCAGGAGGGCCCTGGCCCCGGGCGGTGGGCTGAGCAGACCTTCCGGGGACGCAGGGACTGCCAGGAGGATGGGTCTCTGCCCCTTTCCACAAGACCCCGGCCACCACCAGCCCCCTCAGCCCTTGCAGCTGTGGCCACTGTCCTGAGCCGGGTGCCCACAGGGGGATGGGGGGCAGAACAGGCACCTGTCCCTGCAGGCGGTCCCCAGCAACCTGGGTGCCCAGAACGTCCAGCGAAGCATTTATGTCAGGTGTGCCTCCGGGTCCCCGCTGGGGCCCAGTGGGCTGTGCTACCTGCCTGAGACTCTCCCTCTCCTTGCTTAACTCTTATCTCCGGAAAGCCTGTTTCTGTCTGTGCATCTGTCACCAAGTGGCCTCTCTCAGTGCCGGGTCCCCCATGGGCATGGAAGAGTTTGTTCTCTGTGAAACGGTTGTAGCCCCTGGTCGTGTGGGAGTTGGGAGGGCAGGTCAGACCAGCGGCAGCGAGGCTGGTGTGCTATAACCTGAGGTTCCTCTGGCTTCTCGGCCTCTTAACTACCCAATTCGAGGCCAGAGAAGTAGGTCAGGGACCTTCAGTTTAAGCCACAAGGAAAGGCAGATGGCCAGACAGGCAGTGGCAGCCCCTGGCCTGTGAGATGCAGCATCCCTGACCCTGCTTCCCAGGGCAGGCTCAGTCCCCTGTCACTCCTAAGTCCTGCCTCTCCCACCGCCCTGGCTCCTGGCTGCTGTCCCTGGCCTTCAGAGGAGGAAGGCCGGCCTTCAGCTCCCTCCCCTGCCCCTCACTCACCTGAAGCACCAACGCTCATCCGGGCTACCATCTGGCCTGGTGCCAACCCTCAGCTTCACCCCTGCCGGCTGCTTCTTCCTCCTGCACCACCAGTAGCCATTCTCCACCTCCAGGACAGAGATGGCTCTCTGGGGACAAAGGACACATCAGACAGAGCAGCCAGGGAGATGCGCCATGCACTTTACAGTATAGGCCTAAGTCCACTGAGCACCAGGCTGGATCCAGCTCCAGTGTTTGATTACCTGCGTGCTGTCGGCCTCAACCCCGTGAACCTCCGTTTCCCCACTTACAGGCCTGGGGGCTTAGGGGAAGTCTGCATGTAGAGTGCTCGGCAGTCACTGGCTATTGCATCATTACAGGCCCCAGAATGTCACACCGACAGGTACCGAAGTTCATCTGCTCTAACCCACAGTGTGCCTGCCCGCTGACACACAAAGTAGGTGGGGGCAGAACTTTGCAGGTAAGGACACGGAGTCTCAGAGAAGACAGGGGCTTACCCAAGGTCAACAGGGAATTGGTACCATGGCTCTCCCTACACAAACTGCCCAGACCTGCACCCAGCCTTCCCAGGACAAGGAGCAGCTTTGGCTTCCTCCACTGTAGGTGGTGCCTTATCAGCCCCAGCTGCAGGGACCTCTGATGGCACAGCCTGCCTGCCTCACCCACCAAAACCACACACTCAGTATATGCTGAGCACAGGACGGGAGCTACATGAGGGCAGACTTTGTCTTGTTCTCTGCTATGCGTTTAGAATCTAAAACTGTGCCTAGCCCCATAGTAGGCACTCAAGAAATACTTAATAATTATGATGATGATAACTAACACATTGAACATCTGCTGTGTGTCAGGCACTGTTCTAAGGGCTTCAGATATATGAGCTTATTCGAGCCTCACAGCAGCCCTTTGAAGGAAGTAGTGGGTGATGGACACCCCGACAAAGGCAAGACCACCCAGGGCCCTGGATCTGCTCCGGGGCCAGCTCAGCTGGGTCCTGCCCACTCCTCACTGGGCCCAAAACTCCTTGGGGAGGGAGAGGGGAGCCTCCAGGGGCACCTGCAGCTTCCAAATGCTCCAGCTGTCGGTGGTGACACTGCTGACAGTCTCGTTCATGAGGGCGATGAGCATGTTGAGCAGCAGGATGTAGGTGAGCAGCACGTAGGCCAGCAGCAGCAGCAGCACAGCCCCGCGGAAGCGCAGCTGCTCCTGGAAGGCCAGCTCGCCCATGCCGATGGTGAACTTGAAGAGCTCCAGGGCGGTGTCCACGATGCCACGGTATGGGACCTCGCTGCCCTCCCCGTCCTCCTGTCCTGCCCCAGACCACGCTGCCCCCGTGGCATTCGAACTTGCGGGGACCCTGGGGTCCCGGACCTCCTGGCTCAGGCTCACCAAGGCTGCAGGAGGGTAGAATGGGGTCGTCAGCCTGGGGAGACCAGCTGGTAGACTTGGGGGTATATGGGGCAGCAAGGGATGGGCAGGGGCCGGAGGGGAACCTTTACCTATAGCGAAGCCGAAAAGGAAGACTACGTATACCAGAAGGAAGCGGAGCAGGTCCTGCAGAATGACCTAGAACACAAGGACCAGGAGCTCGGGTGGGTGGCTGCGCCACCGGACATGACCCCACACCCTTGCATTGATCCTGAGCATGGGTTCTTATGTCCACACCACACACACACACACACACACACACACACGTGTGTGTGTGTGTGCATACACAGGCCCTGTGGAACTACCGTGAGCAAATGGGTCTTTTAAAAGTCTACATCAGATCATATAATTTTCCTGCTTAAAACCCTCCAGGGTAAAAAAATTAAACATAGAGTTACCATATGATTCAGCAATTCCACATCTGGGTATATACCCAAAAGAATTGGAAACAGGAAATCAAGTAGATATTTGTACACATCAGTGTTCATAGCACATTATTCACAATATCAAAGGTGGGAACAACTCAGGTGTCCATTGATGAATGAAGGGGTAAACAAAACGTGGTATATCCATCCAATGGGATACTATTCAATCTTAAAAGGAAGGAAATTCTGCCCTGGCCTGCCTGTCTCCATGATTAGAGTGTTGCCCCACACACCCAAGGGTCACAGGTTCAATTCCAGGTCAAAGGCATGTACCTGGGTTGCAGGTTTGATCCCTGAGGCACCTACAGGAGACAACCAATCAATGTGTCTGTTTCACATCGATGTTTCTCCCCCCTCTCTTCCTCCCTTCCATTCCCTCTAAAACTCAATGGAAAAAAATATCCTCGGATGAGGATTAACAAAAACAAAAGGGAAGGAAATTCTGACACATGTTACAACCTGATGAGCCTTGAGAATACTATGCTCAGTGAAATAAGCCAGTGACAAAAGGACAGATACTGCGTGATTCCATCTATAGGTGACACCTAGAGTCATCAAGTTCATAGAGACAGAACGTATGAATGTGGTTGCCTTGGGCTGGGGAGGGCAATGGTGCAGAGTTTCAGCGTGGGATAATGGAAGTTCTGGAGATGATGGTGGTGATGGTTGCACAACAATGTGAATGTGCTTAATGCCACTGACTTGTAACTTAAAAAGGTTAAGGCCTAGCCGTCTTGGTTCAGTGGATAGAGCGTTGGCCTGTGGACCGAAGGGTCTCGGGTTGGATTCTGGTCAAGGGCACGTACCTCAGTGGGGTGCATATTGGAGGCAACCAATTGATGTGTCTCTCTCACATTGATGTTTGTGTCTCTGTGTCTCTCCCGCCCCCCCTTCCACTCTCTCTAAAAATCAATGGAAAAATGTCCTCAGGTGAGGATTGATAATTTTTTTTTAAAAAAAGTTAAAATGGTAAATTTTATGTACATTTTACAACAATTAAAAGTTTTTAAAGCCTTCTGGGCCTCCAGACCCCTTCCTATGGGCAACAACTCCCCCTTACCTTCACCTCCTTCACTCACCCACCCTCCTCACCTTCACCTCTTTCACGCACCCACCCTCCTCACCTTCACTTCCTTCACACACTCTGCTTTCTAATCTTTCTCAATCACTTCAACCTTGTTTTGACTCCTGCCTTTTCCTTGCTGTTCTCTTTGTCTCAAATCTTCTTCCTTGAGTCTATTATGAATCACTCTTTGAGGTCTCAGTCGCCACCTCCTCAGAGGGGCCTTGCAGATCACTCTATCTAAAGCCTTCTACCCGGTCATTCTCCGTCACATTGTCCTCCGTGTTCCCTTCAAAAGAGTTAGCAGTCAGTAATCTCATCTGTTTTCGTGGTGCCTTCATTTCCCCCAAGAGAACGTCAGCTTCAAAAGAGCATGGATTTGCCTATTTTGTTAGTGAACAGAAGAGTGTATTCCTAACACTTAAAACAGAGCCTGGTCCATAGTATGGACTTCCTAAACATTTGTTGAATAAATAAATGCAGACACATCCATATGCCCAGATGTCCAGGCATATAGTGGGCTTGTGTGCATAGTCTCTGCTCCTTCAGTGTGCAAGCATGCAAGTGCTCCTGTGTGGACAATTGCGAACACACAAGTGCAGGTAGTTGCTTACGTAGGCAGAGCGCAGATCCCTGAGAGCAGGTATGCGCACACCCACACTCTTGCTGATATTCAGCGAGTGTCTGGGTCCGTGATGCACATACTCATGTTCTCTGCCCAGGTGAGCTGTGGAAGAAGTCACCTGACTGCTGAGGCCAAAGGAGTCCTGCTGGAGTGTGGTGCCCAGCCCTGCCCAGTCCGGTTGCAGCAGGGCCACCCCTGCCTCTCACCTTCTGGATCATGACGCTGTAGATGCCTGTGGACTGGAAGCCGCGTGTATAGTAAAGCAGGTTCAGCCAGCCCAGCACCAGCGAGGACACAAGCAGAGGCAGGTACCACTCAATAGCCAGGAAATGCAGCACCTGAGACAGCACTGTGAGCAGGGCCTGGACCAGGCTAAATGGGGACAGGAACAGGGTCAGCTTGCAGGCCACTTGACAAGACCCCCTTAGTCCCCACTGGCCAATGCTGACCACCACTGCCTCACCCACTGCAGTCTGATGGGTGAGTTCTCCACCTGTCTAGACCCCATCAGGTCCTGACCTCCACCCCAAGCAAGTTAGTTAACCCCTGTGGGCCTCAGTTCCCTCCCCAGGATATGAGGTAACAGGAACCACCTGACCCACAGAGCATTTGTGAAGATTCAATGAGACAAGAGATAGGAAGAGTTCAGGCTCCATCAGTGCACAGTGAGGGTCAGTAAATGCTCTACATGGATGGGAGCGTAGGAAACCCCAAGCTGGACATATAACTCATGAGTCTGGTCTCTGGTTCCAACCCCCTGGGGCCCCTTGGCCCTGGGTCCTCCCCTCTAAAGCCTGCATGGTGCCCTCTGCCACAACCACCTCTCCAGGGCCTGAGATGGAGGAGGAGTGAGGCACCACATACAAGAGCAGGTCAAAGTAGCTGTCCAAGAACGAGATCCAGATGAACAGACGGCGCCTCCAGAAGCACCACAGCTGCGGGGGGAAGGACAGGGGTGGGAAACTTGCTCTCCAGGCCACACAGAGCCCTCCCCCCATCAACCCCAAGGCCCAGGCAGGGCTCCCATATGGCCCTGCCTTCTCGCCATGTGGGAACCTGCTGCGACTTTTCAGAGGAGCTCATGAATTTTGCTGACAGCTAAGAAAGGTTAGGACCCTGTTTCCAAAAAGTGCAGCCACCAACAGACACCAAGACAATGCCAGGGCCTCCTGGCTCCGTGTGGATCCGGAAGCAGAGCTCATGCACTGCCTATGGTAAGGGGGGAGCTCCCTGCCCTCCCTCTCTCTGCCTCCCAGCACCATCCTGGGCTCCAGCCCACCTGGAGTTGGTGCCCGGGTTCTGCCCACTCTGAGAGTCAGTGCCAGCCCAGCTGTCTCCTGCGAGCTTGCAGCACTTTCAAAGGCAGAAGCCCGGCTGAGGGAGTGGGCTGAGCCCCACCTTCTGTGCTCCCCAAGGGAGGAATGCCCCAGCTCAGGGACCTAGGGGCTGGGGCTTCCAGCTCGATTTCCCGGGGGGCAGAGCTGGCACTGGCAAGGAGTCATAGGAGCCATTTCCACACCACGGGCACTCTAGAGCAGCGGTCGCCAACCGGTGGCCCATGAGGTCCAAAAGGTTGGCCACTGCAGCTCTAGAAAGCATAGTAGGAGGGTAGCAGCCCCAGCAGGCGAGGCCTTCAACCGCCCAGAGGCAGTCAGGGTGGGACTGGTTCTCAGTTTCCCCATAAACCAAGGTACTGTGGTGACCTGGCTCTAAGGCTCCTCGCGGCCCCTGGGCAGGCTGGGAGCCACATGGAGTGGGGAGAGGAAGGAGCCCTCACCTGGCCCAGGAGGAGGTAGCCGCCCCCAAGCAGGATCAGGATGTGGCCCAGTAGCTGCAGGGAGTTTCCCACTGTCCCCTTCATGGGGAGGAAGGCCTGTGAGGAGACACTCAGGTAGGATCTAGGGTCCCCTCCCAATGGCCCACCCTCCGAGCGCCAGAGCTGAGGACCCACTCTGAGCCTGAGCTGTGGAGCGGCCCCTCCCCTCGGAGCAGCAGCGGGAACCTGGGCTCGGGGCAGGCCCGCTGGATTCTAGTCCACCGTGCGGAGCAGTTGTGAGGGGGAATCGGAAGCCAGGCTGCCCGTTCAGATCCCATCTCCACACTTACAGCCTGCGTGAGCCTGCGTGAGTTATTGCCCCTCTGTCCCGCCCTTCCCTCCACTGTAAATGGGGACAGTGGTTCACTCAGAGGGTTGTTGTGAAATTGAATTAAAGTGAATACAAGTCAATCACTCAGACTCTTTCTCATATATGGTGAGTGTTAACTCCTGCGGAGCTGGCACCCACTGGTCCGGCTGGGAAGCCTGAGGATCCCTCAGCAGTCAGAGCCTCAGCACGGAGCGGGGGCTGGGGGTGGGGGTGTCCTAGTCCCAGCTTCTTCCAGGGCTATTTCCAGGAGCCTCCCAGGGTATGCCCCCGCCCCTCCCCAGCCTTGCCTTTTCCAGGGCAGGCTCGCAGTAGACCACAGCGGTGAAGATGAGCATGTAGGTCAAGAAACACAGGAAGTTGAAGAAGAATCTGGGCCTGAGCAGGTCCCATTTCGCCTGCAGCAGTTTGTTCAGCGGCTCCAAAACCACCATTTGGTGTCGGTGCTGGGGTGGGAATGTGAGCGCCAGGGGACATTCAGCAGGTGTGCACAGGGGCCCACTCATGGGCTCAGTGCAAGGGGTAAGGGAACGGAGAGGATAGGAGAGGAAAGGATGGGGAACCCCGCTTGACCCCACCCACCGGCCACCACCCCACCCTCCTGACTAGGGAGTGGCCGAGGGCCTCTCCTATCCAGAGCAGATGGAACTGGCAGGTGGGATGAGTGTGGGGTCAGGACCTGCAGCCACACCCCACTGGCCAGCAGACAGCCCGGGTGGGGAGCTTGCAGGGAGCTGTCTGCAGGGCGGGCTCACCGGGCTCCGGCAGTGAAAGGCGATGATCTCCAGCACCGAGTTCTCCTCACAGCTGTCCACAGAGGCCATGTCATACAGTGACACCCGGACCGGCCCGTAGCACCACTCAGTGAACTTCCGGGAAAGGCACTGGTACGGTCCCGAGAACTCTCGCTGCAGGATGTGCCTGAAAATCTGCAGGATGGATCACCTGAGCTTGGCCCTCTTGGCCACCTCCCAGCGTGACTCGGAGTCTGGGGAGTATTCTGTCTGCAGAACTGCGTTGACGTGCACACGCCCTGTACACATGGTCCTTGTATGTACAAACGCTCAGAAAGGGTCACTAACCAGAGCAGGTTAAGATACAATTTGGTAGAGAAACCAAGATGGCGGCATAAGTAAACACTGGAAATTGCTGCCTCCAACAACAAATTCAAAAATACACCTATAAGACAAAATGGATCTCATCCAGAACCACAGGAAGGCTGGCTGAGTGGAAATTCTACAACTAGAAGGAAAGAGAAAAGCACAGTGAGACTCAGAAATAATTATTTCCCTCTCTCTTTCTCTCTCTCCCCTGTGCACCTCACTTCCACTCTTGCTAAAACTCAATGGGGGTTGGGGGGTGAGGGGGGAAATCCTCACTCCTCTAGTGAGGATAAAAAATAAAAGAGAGAGAGAGAGAAATAATTTGGTTTCACAAATGAGAATTCAAAAATACGAAGATAGTGTAAGGAGCCTCTGGGACAGCTTCAAGCATACTAACATCTGAATTATAGGGGTGCCAGAAGAACAGAGAGAGCAAGATATTGAAAACGTATTTGAAGAAATAATGACAGAAAACTTCCCCCACCTGGTGAAAAAAATAGACTTACAGGTCCAAGAAGCACAGAGAACCCCAAACAAAAGGAATCCAAAGAGGAACACAACAAGACACATCATCATTAAAATGCCAAGAGCAAAAGACATAGAGAATCTTAAAAGCAGCAAGAGAGAGAAAGTCAGTTACCTACGAGGAAGTACCCATACGACTGTCAGCTGATTTCTCAACAGAAACTTTGCAGGCCAGAAGAGAGTGGCAAGAAATATTCAAAGTGACGAATGCCAAGAACCTACAACCAAGATTACTTTATCCAGCAAAGCTATCATTCAGAATTGAAGGTCAGATAAAGAGCTTCACAGATAAGGAAAAGCTAAAGGGGTTCATCACCACCAAACCAGTATTATAGGAAATGCTGAAAGGTATCCTTTAAGAAGAGGAGGAAGAAGAAGAAGGTAAATATACAAATTATGGAACAACAAATACACATCTATCAACAAGTGAATCTAAAAATCAATTGAATAGATAATCTGATGAACAGAATGAACTGCTGATTATAATAGAATCAGGGGCATAGAAAGGGAGTGGACTGACTATTCTTGCGGGGAAAAGGGTGTGGGGAATGCGGGAAGAGACTGGACAAAAATCATGCAACTATGGATGAGGACAGTGGGGGGGGGTGAGGGCGGAGGGGGGGTGGGAACCAGGTGGAGGGGAGCTATGGCGGAAAAAAGAGGAACAACTGTAATAATCTGAACAATAAAGATTTAATTTTTAAAAAAATACAATTTGGTGTCCTGGCTAGTGTGCCCAGTGGTAGAGCATCGGCCCATGCACTGAAGGGTCTCAGGTTTGATTACCAGTCAAGGGCATGTACCTGGGTTGCAGGTTTGATCCCTACCCCTGATCAGGGTGTGTGTGGGAGGCAACCAATGTGTCTCTCCCACATCAATGTTTCTCTCTCTCTCTCTTTCTCTCTCTCTCCCCCCTCCACCTCTCTTCCACTCTTGCTAAAAATCAATGGGGGGGAAATCCTCGCTCATCTAGTAAGGATAAAAAAAGAGAGAGAGAGAGAAATAATTTGGTTTCACAAATGAGAATTGGGGGAAAGAAAGGGGCAAATGGGGGAGCAGCATATACAGGCCACACAGCACCACACAGCCATGCCTCCAGGCACCAAAGGGAGGACCCCACACCTGGAGCTTGGAGGGCAGAAATAAAACAGCAAAAGTTCTACTCATGTTTACATCTGTCTTAGCCTTTAAAAGTGCCTGTGTTCGAAGCTCTCTCAGGGCTTTGTAAGCTACACGGTGACAGCCATGAAGCCAGCCCTGACAATCGTGAGAACTGGTAAGCACTTTGGAACAAAGGTAGAGCTGGATCATGTTTACTCTTTATACCAAAACTAGAGGCCCGGTGCATGAAATTCATGCACTGGGGGGGGGGGGGTCCCTCAGCCCAGACTGCGCCCTTGCATGGCCTGGAAGCCCTTCGAACAATTTCCCCAAAAACGTAGGCCCCGCCCACCCCACCGATGCTCCACGATGGATCACCCCCACAGAGGAAGGCCCTTGCCAGAGGATTAAGTAATAGCAAAACTCTAAAGAAAAGGATAATTACAACTTATAAAGTTAGAAATGTGACAATTCTGTGTGGCAAAACACCATAAAAATCTTTAATGTTGAGCTGGGAGAAAATTTTGCAACTGTGAGAGTAAATAAAATGCTAATTGTTCAGTATAAAGGACACTACCAACCCAGGTAAAGAAAACCCAAGAGCAAGTCTAATGGCAGAATAGGAAAGGACATGAATAGATTGTCTCCTAATCAAGAAACCCAAATGACTTTTTTGTTGTTGTTGTTAATCCTCACCTGAGGAAAGTTTTCCATTGATTTTTAGAGAGAATGGAAGGGAGGGTGAGAGACAGAGAGAGAAACATAGATGTGAGAGGCATACATTGGGTGGAGGATGGAGCCTGCAACTGAGGTACATGCCCTTGACTGGAATTGAACCCAGTACCTTTCAGGCCATGGGCTGACACTCTTATCCACTGAGCCAAACCAGCTAGGGCCCAAATGACTTTTTTTAAAAATGCCTGTGATTTACTGAAGCCAATATCACCCCAATAAATTCAATAAAAACTAAAAATAAAATGGGGAAAATCCCTGTGCTTTATAATGTAATATATTGGTTCAGTAGTTAGATATAGTTTCTCAATAAACACACATGGTAGAGGTGCGTGCTGAACTGTTCTTAAGAACAGGAGTGTTCAGTTGAAAAATGGGGAAACCATTGCCTTCCACCACCTCCTCAGCCTCTTTCTGCTTCCTGGGCGGGGGGGGGGGGGGGGGGGGGGGGCTGGGGGCAGCCACTCACCTCCATTTTGCCCTCCTGGGCAGCCAGCTTCAGGGGTGTAAGGCCCTGCCGGTTGGGGATGTCCTCGAGCCGCAGCGAGGGGCAGAGGCTGGCCCCAGCCTGGAGGAGCCTGTCGTACATGTGGGTCACCAGAGCGCTGTTCTCAGCCGAGTTGTCTGCAATCATCACCAGCGCGTGCAGGACCGTGTTGCCCAGCGAGTCGGCAGCCTGCAGGCTGGCAGGCTGGTGCTGGTTCTCCAGGAGGTAGGCCACCACATCCCACTGATTGGTGCAGACCGCCAGCGAGAGGGGCAGCTCACCTGGGGGCCAAGGGGCAGCGCTCACCGCCTACTCTTCACACTCCCTGGACAGAGGCCAGGCCTCGTGGAGGCCGGCCAGGCACCCGGGGAAAGGATGAAGCACTGGCCCGAGGTCCCGGCCCCGCTGAGGGCGGCTGTGCCTTCTGTGAACACTGGTGACGGCAGCTGTACCCGTTCTGACACAGGGAGAGGGACCAACCGCTGCCATCGGGAGCAGCACCGGGCCAGCCACCAGGGTTCCCACCTTCCCTGCCTCTTCCTCTCCTTCAGCAGGGCCCAGGCCCGCTGCTGCCTGACGGAGATGCCCTTCAGCCAGGCCCTGTCTGGTTGACTCCGGCCACATGCCAGTTCTAGCAGCCATCCCCAGCCCTGGCCCCGCTGGGGGATGTGGCCAGACAAGGACAAACATCTCTTAAGACTAACTGCTCCTGCAGGCAGCCTGGGGGTTGGCAGCATTGGCCTCAGGGTTAGATAGAGCTGGTTTTAAGGGCGGGCTCTACCACCCATTAACCGTGTCCCACCCCACTCCGCCCACCAGGCCTCGCTTTAATCAAGACTCCTCACCAAAATAAAAGCAAGTGCCTTGGCTTTTCCTCTGGAAGAAGCGGCCGCAGGCCCGGGCATGCACGTCGGCACCGTTCTCCACCAGCAGCCGCACGCACTGCAGGCTCCTCTTCTCGATGGCGATGTGCAGGGCGCTGTGGCCTCGGTAGTACTCATCTGTGCACTGGGCGTTGACCAGAGGCCTGGGGTTGCCCGAGTCCCGGTCGATCTGCAGCAGCGGCAGGATGCAGGCATTGGCTCCATCCCGAAGGTTCAGCACGGCCTTCATCAGGCACGTCTTCCCGGTGGAGCCCTCTGTGGGAGGAGGGGAGGGCAAGGGGCACGAGGGTGCTCAGACCTGGCGCAGCTGGGCCCAGTGCCAAAACGCCCCTCGGGAGGACAGATGCCACACGCAGCTGGTGGGAGCCAGCCTTGATGCTGGGGATTACGGCCCGGGGATACCGTTTCTGCCCTAGAAATTGTTCTCAAACATAATTTGTCACACGTGCAGCATTGTCTGTGCAATAACATTGGCACAGCGCTTGTGAAGTGGCTTTCCCGCTTAATGGCTCTGTCTCCTCAGTCAGGTCACTTGGCCTCTCTCAAGCTCAGTTTTCCTGCGAAGTGGGGATGTTCCCAGGTTGTTGTAAGGATCAAACGGAATTATATGCAAAATGCTCAGCACACAGGGGGCCTGGCACACCATGTGGAGGCCAAAAACTACAAACAACCTAAACGACCATCAGTAAGAAATGAGTTAATGACATTATGGTACGGCTACAAAACGGAAAACTGCAGTTGTCAAGTGACTAAGTCAGAGGTATATATACTGAAGTGGAAAGTGCTACAAGATGTAGTAAGCAGGGGGGAATTACATTACAAATGAGTGTATATACATGACCTCATCTATGTAAATATACACCTAACATATTTTAAAAATAAGTTTTTATTAATTTTTTTTTTTTAGAGAGAAGAGGAAGGAAAAGGGAGAGGGAAAGAGAGAGACAAACATTGATTGGCTGCCTCCTGCACACCCCCTACTAAGGATCAAGCCCACAACCCTGGCATGTGCCCAGACTGGGAATCAAACCTGTGAACTCGCAGTGCATGGGACCACTTCAACCAACTGAGCCCCATTGACCAGGGCCACATAACATATTTAAACAGTTTGAAAAGATGTATCCCAAGCCATCGACGGGGGTCCAGGACCACAGACATTTTACCCTCAGCTTTATACATTTCATCGCTATTTTAATCTTCTAGAACACACAAGTTCTCTTTCTAATTAGCCCCAAATAATAAAGATATTTAGATTTGGGGTAAAGAATGCTCTGAAATGGGTGAAGTATATGATATGTGTAATATATATATGCCTAATATGCAAATTGTCCCCAAGGGAGTTCAACTGGGAGACCGACTGCTCGCTATGATGTGCACTGACCACCAGGGCGGCAGAACAAAACAAAGGAAGGCCCCAGCCAGCAACTGGCAGCTGGGGAAGGGAGCCCCTGGCCGGCAGCCGGAAGGCCCCAATCGGCCCTGATCATTAGCCAAACCTAGGGATCCTAACTGTGCACGAATTTCGTGCACGGAGCCTCTAGTCTTATATAATAAAACCCTAATATGCAAATCGACTGAACAGCAAAACAACTGGTCGCTATGATGTGCACTGACCGCCAGGGGGCAGATGCTCAGTGCAGGAGCTGCACTCTGGGGCTGGGAGCCGGTCCATCCTTGCTGTTTCAAGGGACCTGGCATATATGGCATACTGTCCTTAATATGTTTGCTCACCTTCTTGGCACTATGTGTTTTAACCAAGGTCACCTCTCTGAGAAAGGTTGTTTCCCCAGGTAGGGATTTTCCCCTGAAGTTAGGGAGGGAATAAAACCCCTTAACTAAGTGCCAGGCGGGTAATTAATCACTTTAACTACGAACAATCATGCTTAAGCTACATAATCTTTACTCTCTGGAATGGAGATAAGAAACGCCCTAACCTTTGGAATAGAGATTGATAGGATTGGAATCAACTGGTATAAATACAGATGTAACAAGACAACAGGACACAGAACCTACACAGAACCTAGACACAGAACCTAGAGACAGAACATGGCAAAAGATCCTGGACAGAAACTGGAAACAGAACCTAGAGACAGAACCTAGAGACAGGACATGGCAAAAGATCCTGGACAGAAACTGGCAACAGAACCTAGAGACAGAACCTAGCGAGAGAACCTGGCTGAAGATCCTAGAGACAGAACCTGGCTACAGAACCTGGATAGAACATGGCAAGAGAACCTGACTAGAACCTGGTGACTGAACCTGGCTGGAGAACCTGGACAGAACCTGGCTGGAGAACCTAGCGAGGGAACATGGCTACAGAACCTGGCTGGAGAACCTGGAGAACCTGGCTGGAGAACCTAGCAAGACAACATGGACACAGAACCTGGCTGGAGATCCTAACCAGAACTTCGCTGGAGATTCAGACCAGAACTTGGCTGGAGATCCTGGCTAGAGATCCTGGCTAGGCTGCTGATCAACTGAATGCTGTCTCCGTGTCATTCCTTTTTTGCCGGCTCCGTCCACACCTTTGGGGACCCCTGGACCTGCTGGGGTTGGACTCCGGCACTCTGGTGGTCAGTGTGCTCCCATAGAGGGAGTGCTGCTCAGCCAGAAGCCAGGCTCACAGCTGGCGAGCACAGCAGTGGTGGCATGAGCCTCTACCACCTCTGCTGCAGGCAGGCGGTAAGGAGTGAGGGGTCCCAGACGGTGAGAGGGCACAGGTTGGGCTGTGGAGACAACCCCCGCAAGTGCACGAATCTCGTCACCAGGTCTCTAGTATCTCAATAATGCTGTTATTTAAAAAGGTCAAAGAAAGAAGGAAAGGAAGGAAGGAAGGAAGGAAGGAAGGAAGGAAGGAAGGAAGGAAGGAAGGGAAGGGGGGAGGGAGGGAGGGAGGGAGGAGGGAGGGAGGGAGGAGAGGGAGGAAAAAAGAAGGAAAGAAAGAAAGAAAGAAAGAAAGAAGAAAGAAAAGGAGATAGAGAGAGAGAGAGAGAGAGATAGAGAGAGAGATGAGAGAGATATCGAGATCAGAAAGCAAGAAGAAAACAGAAAAAAAAAATACCGACAAGCATACAAGAACGCCAATAACCCAGAAATCCTCCCTCCCGAAATCAGAAGGGAAAAAGGAAGCATTGAGGATGCCTACAAGTACCCATGCGGCCAGGTGCCAGTGAGGTGGTGGGAGGTAAGTGGAGTCGTTGGCTCTGTCAGCAGGTTCCCCTGCAGCCATTCTGGCAGGAGGGTCTGCTGCTAAGAACGCTCCCCTTAAAAAAAAAAAAAAAAAAAAAGGAAAAGGAAACTCCCACCCTTTGTCTTCTCCTGACCATGGTCAAGACCCACCAGCCAGCACAGTCCCAGCACAGCCACGGACCCGGGCTCTGCGAAGGGCAGGCCTACCTGTGTACTCTGAGTCGGTGAGGTACTTGCTGGTAGTGCGCAGGTACTCCAGTAGCCCCGTCAGGTCCTGGGGGACACCCCGGGCAGCGGCGCTGAAGAGCCGGTCACGGTCAAAGCGGTTTAGGTCCAGCTGGCTGCAAGAATGTGGTTTGTGACTGATGCTGTGAAAGAGCCACGCCCCCAGAAGGAGCTCAGCCCTGGGAGCCCTTGCAGGAAGCCCTGTGAGCACTGCATGCCGGTAACCATGAGAGCCTCCTTCCCAGAGCAAACCGGGAGACCCCGGAGCCAGAGCCCAGGAGCGGGGGTGGGGCTGCCTGGAGAGGGGGGCCAGGACCCAGGTCTGTGGCTCCAGGCATCACAGCTGTTCCCCAGCATTGGTCCTTGTCATTTGCAAGGTGCCTGGATGATCTCTCAACAGGCTCACTATCCCCCAGGGTGGGTCTCGGCATAGGGACTTGTCGTGGCCCCTGAGCTAGAGTCAGGTCAGGACAGGGTTGGGGGAGGTGCCCACTGGCCATCAGGGCTGTGCACATCACTGGCCTTGACAAAGGGGTCGAGGAAAGTCCCTCCTCCTCTGAGAAACCATGTTTGGACAAGTAATGCAGTATTTGCACTCATTTCAGCCTGGGGGTCAGGAATCACTACTTTCTCTTTTAGACAAACAAGGCAATACAGTAACTTCCCCAGTCACATGATGCAGAGCCCAGGGCTCCCCCGGGGCCTGTCTAACCAACTCCAGCCCCTGACTCACAACCCCAGAGAGATTCTAGGCTGGCAGACAGCTGTTTCTCAGAGACACGTGGGCCCTGCACCGGAGCTGAGCAGGTGCTCACTGGAGTCTTGCTGAGAAGCCACACTTCCGGGAAGGGCCCCAGAAGGGCCTTATAATCTTCAGAATCTCACAGTGTCTGCTGACAGGAAAGGGAAGGACTGCCCCTCCTGGACTCGCCACTATTCACAGAGACAAGCTTATCCTTGGGACCCCTGGCACCATGACCAGCAGATATGAAGGGACAGACAAAGGGACTATTACACTTTGGGGACCCTCAGCTCCTAGCTTCACAACTCCCATAGGATGGGCCAACCAAGTGATGGCTGGGTACTGAAGAGTGAGGGGATTGTTGGGATCAGTTGTGTTTTAAGTCATAGCCACATGACTGAGAGGGCCAGACTGCCTCCTCCACACCAGGAAGCTGCACTTCTGCCTCTCCTGGCCAGACACACCATCATCTGCCCACAGAGCACATGGCCACAACATGACCAAGGGCTCTGCAACTGACTAGGGAGCCCTGCGGGGAGCCTAGACAGGGGAAGTGTCTATTTGGACAAAGTACTTCCTTTCTCAGGGTGACATCACAGTCTTAGGGTAGGAAGCTCCTCAGGGACACAGATTGAGATACCAAAGGGCGTTGAGGGACCCATTCTGCCTGTCGGGTTGGCTACCCAGCTCCCAACAGCCTTGTGCGCAGCCTCTCCTGTCTGGGTCTGCATCTGTTTGTGGACCTCCAGCACAGGCAGCATGGGGGCTCTGGGCTGGGAGGCAGGGCTAGAGGCCGCGTCCCAGGCATGAGGAGGAAGGAAGGGACTTCCCTGGCAGAGTCCCACCCGGACCACCGAGAGTCTCCTGGTCAGACCTTGTATGTCAGACACCACACTGGGGGCATGCCAGGTGCACCCCCCGCCCCACCCCCTGCCTCACCCCTACCCCCCCGCAGGCTAGAAGAGTCACTCCTGGCAGGAGGGCTCTCATACAGTCTGAACTGATACAGATCACAAGAAACTCAAAGTGAAGGTGCTCCCAGCAGAAGCCCACCGTCCACAATGTGAGTCCACACCCCTTGGTCGACAGGCTCAGCCTTGGTGCAGAATCATCTTTGACTCTCTCCCCTGCTACCGTCCGTCAGAGGGGCCATGACAGGGTGGGGGCCAGGCATAAACTGGGGGGTGCAAGGGTCAGTTGAGCACTTGGAGCTGGAAGAGAATGTCCCTTTGAAGAAGAACATGACCTCAAAAGGCTGAAGGCCAAGAATAGAGAAGGTTCTGGAAGGGGCCATCCCAGAGAGCAGAGCAGAGGTCAGCCTGTCAGGACCAGGAGCTGTCACAGTCAGACTGAGGACCCCGCAGGCTGTGGGGGAAGGAGCACCAAGTGCTCTGCTGGAAGTGAGGGACCCCGAGCTGCACCCCCATTTGCTGCCTTACCTGGCACCTGCTGCCTTTCGGTAGTTGAGGTTCACTCTGATCTGAGGGGAGAAGTTCCGGTCCTCGCGCACATATGGTGACTCCATGGGGGGCAGCACGTCCCCAAGGCCCCGTTGTCCTGAGTGCACATCAGCTCCATCTTCCCAGCCTCCATAGGTCTCCAGCCTGAAAGGAGGGGGCCCAGAGGCGGAAGCCATCCTGGGGGTGGTGGCCCAGCAGGAACCTCTGTGGAGAGAGATATCAGGGATCCCGCCTGCCTCAGCCCAGGGAGGGGTAGGCGGTCTGCCTGGGCTGCAGACAGAGGGGTTTAGACGCTGAGTACACCCACCCACACAGATGGGGATGGGGCTGTGAGGAAGGAATGAGGCCCTGGTGAGGAGAGGAAGGGAAGTTCTGGTGTGAGGATGGCGGTGCCCTCAGAGAGGGGGGAACAGGACCCAACAGGCAGGCCTCTTTGCCGCTGTCCCACGGGAAGGGGCGGTGGTGTCCCTGACTTTCCCTCCAGGACTTCCTGATGTGGAGGCCACAGCCCCTGGCCTGGCGGTAGCAAGCGTTTGCATGACCAGCACAACCCTCTCTCTACGCACATTCTGTCCAGCGGCTGGGAGTCACCGCAGATGAAGGTGCAGTAGTGGGGTGGGTGCGGGGCGCTCATCTCTCACCACGGAAGGGGCGCTGGCGGGGTGGGGTTGGGGGTGGGGGGAAACCCTGCATCTGCTGCCAGGACAGCTGCAGCTCAAAAGGGAAGTGACTTCCCCAAGGTCGCAGCTGTGGCCGAGCCTGGCGACACCACCTCCCGCCTGACGCTCCTCTTCCGTCCCCAACATCGCGGGCCGCCTGCCCCACCGCTGAAGGCACCGAGCGCCCCCCTGTGCGCCGCCGGCTCTCGGGGCAAAGGGTGGGGGGGCGCGGGCACCTCACTGGATGCCTCCACATGCGGTTTTGACGCACCACCTTTCTGCCGCCCTGGGCTGCTTCTGGGGACAGACACACCCAGCCTGGCCGAGGTCCGCCCCCGCCCCCACCCCCAACCTCCGCAGCAACAGTTGGGGTCCAGCCCCGCCCCGCCGGGGCCCCCCTGATCCCCGCAGGGAAGGCCGGAGGCCCAGCTGCAGACGGAGGGAGCGCGCCCAGCACAGCCCCGCTCCGGCCTGGAGAAGCAAGAAGCCCACTCGGGGGCCCCGCCCCATCATTCGCTGTCAGGTCTGGGGACCTCGGCATGGTCCCCCGACTTACCCCGCAGGCTGAGCCGGGGCTGCAGGGCTCGGGCGGCGGAGGAAGTGAAGCCGGAGGCTGACAGCCGGGCGGGCGCGGCACCCAAAGCTCGGGCTGCTGCCGGCGGGGGCTCCGGGGGCCCCGCACCCTCAGCCCGCGCGCCCTCCGCAAGGTGGAATCAGGAGTGCTCTCTCCCGTCAGGGCCGGGGGACATCAGGGACTGTCCTTCTGGACCACTGGCCACACCCTATGAGGACACGCCCTGCGCCCGCCCCCACCCGCTGCCTGGGCACTGGCACTGCGGGCGGGAGGGCGGCCTGGGGGGAGCAGGGGCAGCCCTGCAGCGCAGGGCGGGCGCGGGCGCGGGTGGGGAGCCTTGCCCACTACACCGCACCTCCCCTCCCCTTCCTCCCCGCGGGCCTCCTGACAGCCGCGTGGCTCCGACTGCGAACTGGCTGACCCATCGCAGGACAGAGCTGATGTGGATGGCCCCAGGGAAAGGAGAAGGGAGGAGAGGGAGAGAGGGGGACAGGGGGAGAGGACAGAGGGACAGAGGAGAGGAAGAGGAAGAGGAGAGCCTCAGCCCCGCGCATGCCCCAGGGAATTCATGCCACCCACCACCCAACAGTTTGAAGGGACTTTCCCACCTCCTGGGGCCCAGAGGACTCCTGGACTTCCAGCTGTGTGGGGGGGGCGGGGAAAGGGGGCGGGGGAAGTTGCTGTACTGCCCTGGTCTGGACTCAGCCTTGGATGCCTGGGGACACAACCACCAACCAAGTAGTCCTAGGAGGCCTCTCTCTCCCTCCCCTTACACACACACACACACACACACACACACACACAGACACACACACACACACACAGAGAGACACACACACACACACACACACACACAGAGACACACACACACACACACACACACACAGCAAATGTACCAAATGTATCTCTGTGTCTGGTCCAAGCCACTTTCATCGCTCCCTGGGAGACTGCACCCACCTCCACACTGGTCTCCCCTCTTCAATCCTGCCGCACCATCACCCTCATAATCCATTCTCCTTTCAGCAACTGGAGTATCTTCCAAAGTAAAACCAGGTCACCCCACTCCCAGCTTAACTCCCACCCCAACCAGCGGTTTCCTCAGGTGCTTAGAATAAAATGCATCCTCCACACACAGCCCTGCACAGCCCGGAGGGGCTTCCCATCACCCCACCTTGGTCTCTCCTTGCACCCCTGTTACACCCTAGACCAGTGGTTCTCCACCTTGGCTGCACATGAGAATCACCTGGGAATCTTTTTAAAATCCTGATTTCTGGGGCTCATCCTCCGGAAATTCTGTTTCTTTGTTATGGGGTGGGGCCACAACATTAGTAACAAAGAAACAGAATTTCCGGAGGGTGAAGCCCAGAAATCAGGATTTTAAAAAGATTCCCAGGTGATTCTCATGTACAGCCAAGGTTGAGAACCATTGCTCTAGAGACCTTTGCTCTCAATATGGTGGTCACTAGCTATGGTGACTATTTAAATTCAAGTTAATTATAATAAAATAAAATTAAACATTCAATTCTACAGTCACATTAGCCCCTTTTCAAATGTTCAATAGTCACATGTGGTTGGCCAGTGGCTATCATATTGCAGAACTTTTCCATCGTCATAGAGAATTCTATTGGACAGCACTGTTCTAGGCATTCTGAACACATGTTAGCCTCTCCTCTGTTGCCTCTGAGCCTTTGCACAAGCTGTTCCACCTGCCAGAGTCACACACACCCTCTCACACACACACACACTGCCTTACTCCAGCCAAGTCCTGCTCATCTGTCACCTCTCCATTTAGAACATCGCATCCCCTGAGTAGCCTGTACTAGACCCTGAACTGGGATGGGAGTCCCCACTATGTGTTCCCACGACACTTTTTCCTTCTCTGATCAGAACTCATTATTCATTATTGTTAACATTTATTAATTGTCTGGCTTCGCCTCTAACAGTAACAAATGCCTACTGAGCACTCACTCTGCGCCAGACACTATGCTGAGTGCTTTCCATTTAACCTCATTTCACAGATGAGGGAACTGAGGCGAGGCAAAGTGAGGTACCTTCCCAGGCCGTTCAAATCCAGAGCCATACCCTTACCCACCAAGCTCTCCACGGGGTGAGATCTTGCCTTTTTTTTTTTTTCTGTATCCCTGTACCCAGAACAGTGCCCGGCACAAGAAGGCTTTGAAAGACTGGGTGGCCAATCATAATGCAGAGGGCATTACTGTACTGTTGGGGGGGATGGAGAGCAAGTGGAGACCCTCAAATCCCTCAGAGGCATCACCACATCAGGTGACAATGACAATTGGGCAGACAACCCCAAATGCAACAGCAGCTCATAAAAAGTCCTCGGATGGATAGCCATTAGGGAAATCAAGAACCACTAGGAGATACCACTTCATACCCACCAGGATGGCCAGATAACAGAGATGGGTAAGACAAGCGTTGGTGAGGTTGTGGAGAAATTGGAATTTCTCATATTCTGCTAGTGGGTGTAAAATGGTGCAGCCATTTGGGAGAGCCTGGCTGTTCCTCAAAGGGTGAAACAGAGAGTTGCCATTCAACCCAGCAATGCCACTCGGCCATGTACTCCAAAGAACCCGAAGCAGATGCCCACACACACTCTTACACAAACATTCACAGCAGCGTTATCCATAACAGCTGAGTGGATCAACCCAGTGTCCACCAACTGTTAAGTGGGAAAATAAAATGTGATCTCTCCTTACAATGGAATACTATTCAGCCACAAAGAGGAATAAAGTACTGATACGTGCTCAACATGGATGAACCTTAAAAAAATTAGGCTAAGTGACAGAAGCCAGTCACGCCCTGGCCGGGGTGCTCAGTGGGCTGAGTCTTGCCCTGTGCATAGAAAGATCGCTGGTTCTATTCCTGGTCAGGACACGGGCCTGGTTTGGGTTTGACCCCTGGTTGGGGCGAGCTCAGGAGGCAACAGACTGATGTTTCTCTCTCTCTCTCTCTCTCTCTCTCTCTCTCTCTCTCTCTCTCTCTCTCTCTCTCTCTCCTGTTTCTCTCTCTCTCTCCCTCTCCCTTCCTCTCTAAAATCAATTTTTTAGACTACAGGCTCGACACAGAAGGTAGCCGGCAATTCCAACGCTCACTGCTGAATTGGGTCTCCTTACTCCGTGCCAGCCCAGCAACTCCAGGCACAGAGCCCACGGGCAGCAAAGGGCCTACGGACGTCCCCCCAGGAACAGCCACGCAGCAGGGGCGGGGGGGGGGGGCACTTCTTCTGCAGTCTTTTCAGAAACAGAGGAACCTGCCAGTGACATCAAGAAAAAAACTGATATTCTGTAAAGGCTGTGGGAGACACCCCTATCATGAAAACGAAGATGTGGGCTCTGGAGTGAACCCAAAGACTCACTGCCTTCATCAAAAAGTTCCTTAAACTTGTGGCTTCAGAACAGTTGTTTGTTTGTGTGAATCGGTCCTGTGCCCCTTCCCCTGACCAGGAAGTTGGAACCTCGATGAGTGCTGGCAGTGATGGTAAGCTGGGCCTATGTCACTGCAAATCTCAGGCCTGGGCCTGAAGACAGAGCACAAGATCTTGATAGCTAAATGAATCTTCACACAGGACACAGCTCTGAAAGTTTGATCCTTACTGCAAAATGCTTGTGGGTATGATCTCCTCAGCGTGGTATCTGCAAGGACCCTTGTTTATCATTTAAAAAACCCATAGACTGAAGAGTCCGGTTTCGATTCCAGTCAAGGGCATGTGCCTTGCTTGCGGGCACATCCCCAGTAGGAGGTGTGCAAGAGGCAGCTGATCAATGTTTCTCTCTCATTGATGTTGTAACTCCCTCCCTTCCTCTCTTTAAAAAATCAATAAAATAGCCGAAACCGGTTTGGCTCAGTGGATAGAGCGTCGGCCTGGGGGCTGAGGGGTCCCGGGTTCGATTCCGGTCAAGGGCATGTACCTGGGTTGCGGGCACATCCCCAGTGGGAGATGTGCAGGAGGCAGCTGATCGATGTTTCTCTCTCATCGATGTTTCTAACTCTCTATCTCTCTCCCTTCCTCTCTGTGAAAAATCAATAAAATATATTTTTTTAAAAAAATCAATAAAATATATTTTAAAAAACAAGCAAGAGAGAGGTCACAAACACGTGTCAGAGATATGCGTCGGAGAAAACTCAGGGTCAAGGATGGGAAGGCAACTTCCTTTTTAGTGTGTAACCATTGTACTATTTGAATATTTTATCATTTTTACCAAACAAGGATAGGTAGCCCTGCTTTTTGAAAGTTCTCATTATACCACTTTGTTTTTATGAAAGACCTACATTTTTACCTGTTTTGATAACCAAAAGAATCCAAAAAGGAGTTTGCTTTTATGAAAAAAGGCAAAAGGGAAAACAGCATTTGTTGTGCGGCGAGGCAGCCGTTATAGAGGCAGCGAGCAGTGCACCCCCGGCTTCTCCCAGGGGAGCACCACTCAGCATCTCCACATCGAGCCCCATAGCTTTGAGCTGCATCTGTGAGCATCTGTGCTTTATTCCATTTATTTTGTGCCTCTGTTGGCCAGATGTGTCCTAAGGTACCAAAAAGCCTACGAGAGCTCATAAGAGTGTTGATGCCTAGCATAAAACCGGGCATGATTAAGCATAGTTGGTGTGATTTGGCAGGTTATTTTTGGGATCTGGGAACCCTCAAAAGATTTTCCATATAAGTTAATGGTACTTGCTTCTTCACTTTACACCATTTCAGCTTACAAAAGTTTCATAGAAATGCTCTACTTTCAGATAGTGGGGGAAACACTTGATACAGAGTCTGGAAGGGCCATGTGTCCTGGCCAGATGTAGCCTCCCTGAACAGTTTGTGTCTGAGACTGCCAGGAAGGAGACAGCAATGGCCAGCTTAGCCCTGGTGGGTTGCTCAGTGGTTAGAGCCTCCGCCTGCACACTGAAGTGTCTCAGGTCAAGGGGCATGTACCTGGTGTCTCTCTTACATAGATCTCTCTCTCTCTCTCTCTCTCTCTCTCCCTCCCTCCCTCCCTCCCTCCCTTCCACTCTCACTGAAAAGCAATGGGAAAAATATACTCAGGTGAGAAAAGAAGGAAGGAAGGAAGGAAGGAAGGAAGGAAGGAAGGAAGGAAGGAAGGAGGGAGGGAGGGGAGGGAGGGAGGGAGGGGAGGGAGGGAGGGAGGGAGGGAGGGAGGGAGGGAGGGAGGGAGGGAGGAAGGAAAGACCAGCTTAGTAGGCTTGACAGGTGTCCTGTTACAAGGGAGACAGAGGGATATGAATCCGCTCATAGAGAAAAAAATGCCAGCTGAGGTGGGCTTGGTCCTCGGAGAGGCAGGGGCACTTGGGGCTCCCCCAGCCACAGGCCAAGGGCACACCCTGGAGAGTAGGAGGCCAAAGGCCTGCTGGTTCTCACGGCTGCCTGGCCCGGGGAAGTCTTGCTCTCAGCAGGGCGCTGCCTCTTCCCACGCCGCCCCCGTGAGGCTCTGAGTCCCACAGGCCCACAGGCTGTGCTCGGCCAGGCCCCGGGGCGGGTGCTTTCCTCCAGCACCCAGAATAGCCACAGCCAGGCCCGGCCAGCTCCGGGACCCGAGCCTGGGGCTGGAACCCGAGCCTCGGGGGTGTCCCCAGCCTGGCGCTGGGCTGGGCGGTTCAGCAGCCCCGGCTCTTGGAGAACGGACACGCGGAGGCGGGAGAAGGGATGTTCTACCAGCCGGGAGCCCGGAGCAGAGGAAAAGTCGGAGGCAGGTGAACTGAGATAGAGATGGGCCAGGAGAGGAGCGCGACGCCGTCCAGACACAGACTGAGGCCTACAGATCGGAACAGGGCCGGTCAGAACCGGCGACGAAGACCAGGACCACGACCAGGCGTCCGGGCAGGGATGCATCCGGTAGCTGGACTGAAACCAGGAAGATCGGGCTGCGTGCAGGTCCAGCCGAAGAGCCCGCGGTCCAGCACCGGGGACGATGCTTGGGGTGCGGAGGCCGGCCGCCGCGCCCGCCCCGCGCCGCCTCCCCGCGCCGCCTCCCCGCGCCGCCTCCCCCTCCTCGCCTCCCCCTCCCCGCCTCCCCCCTCCTCGCCTCCCCTCCCCAGCGCGCCTCCCCTCTCGCCTCCCCCTCCCCGCGCCGCCTTCCCCCTCCCCGCCTCCCCCTCCCGCCTCCCCCCTCCTCGCCTCCCCCCTCCCCGCGGCCGCCCTCCCCCTCCTCGCCTCTCCCCTCCCCGCCTCCCGCCTCCGCGCCTCTCCCCCTCCCGCGCCGCCTCCCCTCCCCGCGCCGCCTCCCCCTCCCCCTCCTCTGCCTCCCCCTCCCCGCGCCGCCTCCCCCTCCTCGCCTCCCCCCTCCCCCGCCTCCCCCCTCCTCGCCTCCCTCCCCCTCCCCGCGCCGCCCCCCCCTCCCCCCTCCTCCGCCCCCCCTCCCCGCGCCGGCCCTCCCCCTCCTCGCCTCCCCCCCCCGCGCCGCCTCCCCCTCCCCGCCTCCCCCTCCCCGCGCCGCCTCCCCCTCCTCGCCGCCCCCTCCTCGCCTCCCCCCTCCCCGCCTCCCCCTCCCCCTCCCCCGCCCCCCTCCCCGCCTCCCCCTCCGCGCCTACCCTCCCCGCCTCCCCCGCCCCCTCCGCCCCCTCCCCCCTCCCCGCGCCCCGCCGCCCCGCGCCGCCTCCCCCTCCTCGCCCCCCTTCCCCCCCCCCCCCTTCCCCGCCTCCCCCTCGCCTCCCCTCCCCGCGCCGCCTCCCCCTCCTCGCCTCCCCCTCCCCGCCCCTCCCCCTCCCCGCGCCGCCTCCCCCTCCCCCGCCTCCCCCTCCTCGCCTCCCGCTCCCCGCGCCGCCTCCCCTCAGCCACGCCCCCCCTTTCAGTTCCCCGCGCCCTTCTCCCGCCCAAGCGAGGCCCGCCCCCTTCCTAAGTGACTATCCGGACTCGCCCTCCCCGGGCCGCGCGAGCCGGTGGTCGGTGGTCCTGGTTGAGGCTGGGAGGACCGCGGGGCGCCCTCCTAATGCCCTCTGTTCTCCCCAAGTGACAGTGGGGATACCAGAGCCCGTGCCCTCTGCCTCCCTCCTACGGAGCGGGTGCACCACGGGGTGGGCACAGGCGGCACCGCCCTCCAGGCAAAGCCGGGCGCTTTATGGGCTTTTTTCTTCTCTCTCTTTTTTTTAACTTATTGATTTTTTTTATAGAGAGGAAGGGAGAGGGATAGAGAGTTAGAAACATGATGAGAGAGAAACATCCATCAGCTGCCTCCTGCACACTCCCAACTGGGGATGTGCCGGCAACCAAGTTACATGCCCTTGATCGGAATCGAACCCAGGACCCTTCGATCCGCAGGCCGACGCTCTACCCACTGAGCCAAACCGGTTAGGGTTCTTCTCTTTTTTTAATCCTTACCTCCACCCTGCCAGGTCATCCCTTTGGAATCTCCACTTCAGAGAAGGGGGGAGAGTCAGAGATGAAGTCTCCGTTTGTTTTGCACATTGCACGTGATGGCAGTGGGATTTGAACCCAGACATTCTGATGGCCCTTTGCTTTTTCATCTCTCTTTTACAAAGAGGGAGGAGAAAGAGGAGGGGAAAAGGAAGTTTATTTTTTTAATTTAAATTTTGTATAGTTTAAAGTATTACATAACTCTCCTTTTCCCCCCATTGGCCTCTCCCCGACAGTCCCCACCCCCCAGCACATGCCCTCAAACTCCCCGCTCCCCCCCGCCCACTGTGTCATCTGTGCATGCATATAAATCCTTTGGTTGATCTCTTACCCCCAGGAAGTTTTTTTGTAGTCTAATGACCCCCTTTAAAAAACACTGACAGTTCAAAAACTTTTGACAACCCCTGCCAGTGTGGCTCAGTTGGTTGGACATCGGCCCATGCATCTGGGGACTGCCAGTTTGATTCCAATCGGGGCACACAGCTCAATCCCTGGTGGGAGGCATGGAGGAGGCAGCCCATTGATGTTTCTCTCTCACTCTCCCTTTTAAAAAAATAAAATAAAATAAACTTCTGACAAACGTGTATATAATTGTATTACCACCACAGCTATCAAGATACAGAGCATTTTCTTCACCCCAAAATGCTCTCTGGGCCCCTTTGCCCTCCCCTCCATGACTGCCATGCTCTGATAACCGCTGATCTGATCTCTGCTCTTGTAGATTTGCCATTTCCAGGGTGTCATGTGAATGGAATCACACAATATGTGTATCCCTGGCTTTTAAGGTCCTACATCAAGCATGTCAAACTCAAAGGCTAACACGGGCCAAATAAACAAGGTGTAAGTGTATGTGGGCTGCAAAAAAACAAAAGCTTCGATTTTCATAGAAATGTAGGCTTATTTCTATAGAGACATCCTGAATTCAAAGGGTTGAAATAAGTAAGTCATTGTTAACATAAAATAATAGAACATTTTAATAAACATTACTCCAGAGTAATATTTTTTCTTGAACATTAACTTACCAGATGCTGAATACCTGCACAAATTAATAAGCGTAACGCAAATAAACCTATTTTTCTTGTTCTCCCAAATACTTCCTGTTGCGCACACCAAACAAGTCAGTCCAAGACTAATGGCATGGCCATTGGCAGCTAAAATATTCGCTGCTGGTATTAGTGGAGAGAAATGGTGTGCCTGCGCATAAGGCGCTAAGGGAAATGAATGCAACACGATGATAGTCATCAGTCATTAGCGCACGTTGTAGTTCGTTATTAATAATTATGTATAACAGGATAGTATAAAAATTAAGTTATGAAATTTTTATTAAAACGTTTCTTACAGACCGTTATATTGGCTGAGCTGCAAAAATGTTCGTTGCGGGTGGCGAGTTTGACGTGCTTGTCCTACATAACTTGTTCTTGCTGCAGTTTCCTTTGATAGCGTCTGTCCCTCTCCTAGGCCTCCAGAGGCTGAGGAAAGTTTGCTGCCACTGCCTGGGGCGTGGTTCAGGCCTGGGAAGGGAAGGGTGGGCTGGGTTCTACTTCTGAAGGTGTCTTAGTCTGTTTGGGTCGCTATAATGAACCACAGACTGGGCAGCTTATACACAACAGAAACGTATTTCTCATCGCTCTGGAGGCTGGAAAGTCCAAGGTCAGGGCACCAGCATGGCTCCACACTGGTGAGGACCCTCTTCCTGGTTCACGGCCGGGCCGGGCACCTTCTTGCTGCTTCCTCTTTTATAGGCGCTAATCTCATGCCTGAGGCCTCCACCTTCCTGCCCTAAACAACTCCCAAGGGCCCCACCTCCTAGTACCATCACATCTGGCTGTTAGGTTTCCACATTAGAATCTGGGGGACACGCAAATATTCGGGCCACAGCAGAGAGACGGCAAGTTGAGTAAAGAACCAGGGGCAAGAGTTTGAAACAAGAGTTCAGGACAGTGATGGCGAACCTATGGCGTGTCACCTCTGACACGCGAACTCATTTTTTTGGTTGATTTTTCTTTGTTAAATGGCATTTAAATATAGAAAATAAATATCAAAAATACAAGTCTTTGTTTTACTATGGTTGCAAATATCAAAAAATTTCTATATGTGACACGGCACCAGAGTTAAGTTAGGGTGTTTCAAAATGCTGACACGCCGAGCTCAAAAGGTTCACCATCACTGGTTTAGGAAATTTCAGAAATGTCACTCAAATTTAGACTTTATCGTGGAAGTAATAAAGAATCGTTTAGATTTGAGTGTTAGACCCTCCCCTGGAGCCCTAGGGTTACCAGGACCCGCCTCATTTCTACTAAAGCTTCTCTCTGAAGAGAAAAGTTGTCAGCCAGGTCTGCTCCCGGCCTGGATGCTTCAGGACTCACACTGCCTAACCCAGGGCTAGGGCCAGAGTTAGAGAGAGAATGGGAAAATTCGTGCATCGGAGTTTTCTGTGTTCCTCTGTGTTGTCTCTTCTTATCTCAGTTTTGGGGTGTGTGTGTGTGTGTGTGTGTGTGTGTGTGTGTGTGTGTGTTCCTGCCTTTCCAGGCAGAGGTTTTCCTCAAATGTCCGGTACATGGATGGGGCTTGCTTAAGCATCCCCCTAGGGTGATGCCATGGTTCCCAAAGTCTAGTACTCAGATGTCCACTTCATTCCCCGTGGTTAGCAGGGTCTCATCTGTCTGTGGGTCCCCAGGGCACTGAGGTCTCAGCTTCTCTCCTGCGTTATCAGTGTCATCCTCTGTCTATGGCGCACACACTTCTGGCCACGCCTCTCTGCCTGGTCTTCTACTCTCTTTGTCCTGGAAGGTTTACACCTCTCTTACTCATTTACGATCTTTTAGAGGGGATTGAGGAGGAAGCCATTTTTAAACTGTAAGCCCAACCATAACTGGTGTTTTATTTCTATTTTTTTAAAAAATACTTATATTGATTTCAAAGAGGAAGGGAGAGGGAGAGATAGAAACATCAATGATGAGAATTATTGATCCGTTGCCTCCTGCATGTCCCCCATGAGGGATCGAGACCAAAACCCAGGCATGTGCCCTGAACAGGAATCGAACTGTGACCTCCTGGTTCATAGGTTGACACTCAGCTATTGAGCCACACCAGCCAGGTTTTAATTCTTCTTCTTCTTTTTAATTTCTTTTTTAAAAGACAATCTAGATCCAGAAAATAAAAGTGAAGAGGTTGACGTTGAGACAATGTGCAGACCACCCTTTGGAGGTGTTTCGTCATATAGGAAAGCCGGGAAGCGGGCACTAAGGGAAAGGTCTGTGGAGGGGAGCGTATGTTTACAGGTCACAGATACATGCAATGAAAGATGCTATTTGGACAAGTTTCAGACCAAGTGTGAGAAACCTGATTACCCCGCTTTCTCAAAGAAGTGAGATCGCCCTGGCTGGCGTGGCTCACTTGGTTGAGCAGCATTTCATTTACCAAGAAATCGCCCGTTTGATTCCTGGTGGGGGCACATGCCCAGGTTGTGGGCTCAGTCCCCAGTAGGGGGCGTGCGGGAGGCAGCCGATCCATGTTTCTCTCTCCCTCTCCCTTCCTGTCTTTTTCTTTAAAAAATCAATAAAAACATATATTTTTTTTAAAATGTGCAGTTAAGGTCACTAGCTGAGAGTCAAGGGGCAGGTGGGGAGGTTGAAGAAAGAAAATAAAGCGTATCGCGTCTCAGGCTAATGGAGTGAAATTGCCTGGCAGAGTTCAGAATCCCTTTGAGTTGTGCAATCATGAATTTAAAGTGAAACCAGGCTCCTTAGCTGTGGGACACCCCCCCCCTCCCACCCCCCCCACCACCACCAGCAGCTGGGTGCAAGCAGGGAGAAGGCAGATATTGGAGTCATCAGGCCTGGGTTTTTGCCAGGTGACCAGGAGAGGAAACACAGCCAGCTGCTCCCCACCTCACAAGAGAACTCCTCACTGTCATGTTTTCACACTTCGCTCTCCAGAGAGAAGCAGCACGAGGAGGACTCACCCCTAAAATGTCATTCCCTAGGCTGGCTGTTTTGAGGGGGAATGAGTAGGCAACTGCCAGGAGCCAGCCAGGAGCCACCTGTTTTTCTTAGCATCTCCCAAGCACAGGCAGCCTGGATGCCCTGATTTGACGCCAAGTGTGCCTGGAGCAGAGCCCTGAGTCATTGCAGAGGTAGAGGTAGGCACCATGTCCAAGGCAATGGGTGGGGAAGCAAGACTAGAGGCCCACTCCTCCATCTTATCTTCTAGTTCAAAACAGCACGCCCCTCCCACCCAGCAGATGTGCTAACTCAGCATCTTGTTTGACCTTGACTATCATTGTATTTATCACCCACATTATAAGTGTCTGTTTACTTCCCTGTTTCTACCCGAGGATTGAGTATATTTGTCTGGGTAGCCTTAGCGATTGGCACAGGGTAAGAAAGACCACTTTTATTTCACAAATATTTAAGGCTCTAGGGCTTAGAGAACATACTTATTTCCTTAGTGTTAGGTCTGATCAAATAACTGAATCGATGCCCCCTCCCCCGGGAACGGACCTTTAGGCCATTTCACTATGGACATTCCCTTTTGCTGAGACGACACTTGCTGAGACCACATTCCATTATCTCCTCTACGGACCTGCGCAGAGACTTCTCGGCCGAGATAAAGCCATCCAACGCCCTTTAGAAACCGCCAACTCCGTCCCTGGGGGCTGGAGCCATCCAGGCTCAGCCACCTGGCATGCAGACAGTCGAAGATCGAAGATGGAATAAATTCGTAACCCCTCACCACTCTGGCCTCATGCACACGCCCGTTCGTTCCTCCTTTGGCGACCTAACACTTAGGAGATGCTTTGGGCCTGAATTCACACAACGCTTTTTGGCTTCACCTTTTCCGCATGGAAGGGGTGATATTCGCCTATTTCTGGGTGTTCCCCAACCATGCCCCACAGAAAGTTTGGGTTTCCACCCTTTTCTCCCTTACATTCTGTGGTTTGGGGCCACCCAAGAGCCTGTGCAGATGTTGCATTTACTTTGTGGGATGTCTTTAGGCACAGGTCCCTTGAGTCAGTATAAATTTCCATGTTAGACTACCCACTTCAGGCGCTGCTCACCTGAGCCCAGGGCACGGAGCTTGGAGCCAGGATGTAAGGCTCCGGCCTGGAACAGGAGTGCAGAGGCCAGAGCTGAGAGGGAAACTAGTGAACTATTTTAAGTGGCTGCAGTCAGTCTGCAGGGGAGCAGCTACGCAGAGTGAGTCATCAGACATTACTGGAAGCCAGAGGAGCCTCCACCTGCGTTCTGGGGGTTCTGCACAGAGGCGTCTGAGACAGCAGAGGCACCAGCAGCTCAGGGGAGGCTGAGGCCCGAGGAGCAGAGGACGAGACGCTGCTGTGCAGGCTCCTCCCGCCCCCACTTTTGCCCCCTTAACCTCTTCCTTCTTGTCTCTGGAGGCCTCCCTTTGTCTACGCTCCCCTCGTCATGCTTTCAGGGGCCTCAGGGCCTTCTCCTTTCTCTAGGTCTTGGCCGCAGTGGGGGCAAGGAGCCATATTGTTCCAGCAAACTCTGCCAACCTGCTTCCAGGAAAGGCTCAGGGGAGGAGGGGGGTGGGGGGAGGATTACCTAAAAGGCCATCTGAGCTTCTGGCTGCAAAAGAGAGAAGGCCATTTTAGCCTCTAAAGGCTAAAGTGCACATTTCATTGACCTGCTTTCCGGTATACGTGAGCAGTGTTATTTCTTATGTGCCATACAAATGGTTGGAGCTTAATTAGCAGTATAACTAAGTAGTGATGCTGCCAGTCTCCTTCCGACAAACAGTAAAAATAAATAAATAAATACGATTACACGCAGGCCTGACGCTCAGAAAAATAGCTTTCACAGGGGTGGGAGGGACTGGGGTGCTGCTTCACAGGAAACTGAGGCAAGCAGAAGGTGCTGGAAGCTTCCAGCTAACCCGACCAAGTAAGGGGTGAAAGCTTCGTTTGTTGAAAGGTCGCAAGAGCGTATTTAGCCTTAGAAGTAAGTCCTCTGATAAGTCCCAAAGGCCTTTTTCTCCCCCAAATGCTAGTGCATCCCCTTTGCTGGATGCAGTGGTCACTACTTGACACTCTGACTCAGGGTGAACAGAGCAGTTCTGAAAATTGGGAGCGTTACCTGCATTCGCCAAGGCCAGTGTTTGGGAGGTGTGGGCCGCATACTGAGGAAGTGGAGGGCGGGCCCCTGTGCTCTGTCTGCCTGCAGAGCCACTGATCCAGAAATTAGCCCATGTCTCCCATCAGCAAGCTCCCATCCATCTCCGGGTAAGGGGGACCAAGGCGGATGGACGCCTGGCTCTGCTGAGCTTCCCCTTCCATCGGGTTCCTCTGATGTCAGCTGTTGACCTGGAGCCTATTGGATTACTAATCTGTTTCTTATATATATTGTAGAAACTCCTTATACATTAAAGAAATTAGCCCTTATATATGTTGTAAATATTTTTTCCAGTTTGCTATTTATCTTTTGACAAAAATGTGAAAAAATGAATTCATAAGGTGTTGACCAAGAAGTTGCCTACAAATGTGCCATCCATATGGATTAAATAAATTATGATACATACAATAGAATGTTGTGCAGCTCTTTAAATGAAGATTTATAATTATTAACAAATAATATCTATGCATAGTAAGTAGAAAAAGCAGGATATAAAACATTATGTGAGCCCCTTTTTAAAAAATGTACGTTAAAGAAAAATGTATGTTACCAATAGTCACCTCTAGTTGGTAGAAATTCAGGTAATTTATTCAGGTTATTTTATTTTCTTCTTTTTTCCATTCTAGCTTATCTGAATTTTTAAAACATTATGAAGTTGTGTTGTATTGTTTATTTAACAAGATAAAACATACGAATTAAGCTATTTCCATGTAAAAAAAATAAAAGTTGCCCTAGTCAGTTTGGCTCAGTGAATAGAGGTCAGCCTGAAGACCAAAGGGTCCCAGGTTCAATTCCGGTCAAGGGCACATGCCTCAGTTGCAGGCTCCTCCTCGGCTCAGGCCCTAGTCAGGGCTCCTGCAGGAGGCAACCAATCGATGTGTCTCTCTCACATCGATATTTCTCTCTGTCTGTCCCCTCCCTTCCACTCTCTCTGAAGTAAATAAGTAATTAAGTAAGTAAATAAATAAAATAAGCTACTAGTAATTCTAAACAAGGCAAACATATTTAAAAATACAAAAAGAAGCATGGGGTTATATAGTGTTCAGTATGCTTGGCAAAGTATAGTTATGTGATATAAAAGGCATTTGTCAAGGCCACTATTGACACTGGAGTTAAGATAGGCATTACAATAATCCAGCGATTTCCAATGTTTTCCATCTCATGGCACACATAAACTAATTATTAAAATTCTGTGGCACACCAAAAACTATATTATATTTTTTGCTGATCTGACAAAAAATAGATATAATTTTGAATTGTTCATACCGAATGGCTATGTGTTGGCTATTGTCATTTTTTTATTTGACAATCTAAGAGAAAAGAGGTCAGTGCCCTGGACTAAATAATCAGGTATTGTATGTTTTAAAAATTCTTGCAGCACACTAATGTGCCTCTTGCAGCACACCAGTTGAAAATCCATGCATTAATCACTAGATAATTAACGGCTTTAAAGAGTCTCTACCACCCTGGCTGGTTTAGCTCAGTAGATAGAGCATCGGCCTGCAGACTGAAGGGTCCTGAGTTCAATTCTGGTCAAGGGCACATACCCGGGTTGCAGGCTCGATTGGCAGGAGGCAGCCGATCAATGATTCTCATCATTGATGTTTCTCTCTCTCCCTCTCCCTTCCTCTCTAAGGAGAAAATAAAAGAGTATCTGTCATTGGTTTGTTGATCCCTGTGGGGAAGAATGCTATTATGATCTGGGAGTCATGTGGGGGGCATGTTTCTCTTCCTGGAACACTCTTCACCCAGAGGGGTGTAGAAACATTGATGATTTTGTTTCTTAAAAAAATGTGTTGTAGTTATCAACAGCCTTACACTTTTACTTATTTTTTGGACCCAGAAGTAATACAGAAAAAGATTGCCAGATTCCCTTTCAGTTTCAAAACTTCTGTTTTGACAAAAGATACCATAAACAAACAGTGAGATAATAGTCTCAAAGACACTATTTATCACAATTATAAAAGATAAGTTATTACTTTTTAAAAAATATAAAGAGGTCCTACAAATTAATAATAAAAAGGGCAAAGGTGTGAAAAGGTAATTCTCAATACAAATTAATGTAAAAAAACACAAATAGTGCTTAATCTCATAAGGTTAATCAGAAACATGCAAATTAAAACAATAAGGTGTCCCCTGGCCAGGTACTCAGTTGGTTAGAGCATCATTCCAATATGCCAAGGTTGTGGGTTCCATCCTCGGTCAGGACACATACAAGAATCAACCAATCCTATATAATAAAGAGCTAATATGCAAATGGTCATCACATCCTCATGCCCTTGCTCCAGAACTGCTCAGACACAACACTGGGGAGAGAGGAATGAGGACCACCCAGGCTGTGGCCCAGGAGAGGGACAAGCCGCATGCCCTGCGGTTCTGGGCACCAGCGGCTGCACCTGCGCCTGTGGTCCAGCCTGGGAGAGGGACAAGCCGCACGCCCCGTGGTCCTGGGATTGGAGAGGGTGCAGGCCGGGCTGAGGACCCCCACCCCTGTGCATGAATTTCGTGCATTGGGCCTCTAGTGAATAAATAAGTGGAACAACAAATCAATCTCTCTCCTTCCCTCCCTCCCTCCCTCCTTCCCTTCTTCCTTCTCTCCTTCTCTCCGTCCCTAAAATTAATCTTTAAAAAAAATTTTGCTCTTCAAATTATCCAAAATTGAAATGATTCATAATGTATGTTAATGAGGGTATGAAAGGCTAGGTACTCTTAGGCCATACTGATGGAAATTTATGTTGGCGTAGTTTTAAAAAAATTATTGTAGTATAAGGTACATAATATAAAATTTACCATTTTAACTTTTGTTGGTGTTAATCCTCACCCAAGGATATTTTTTTCATTGATTTTTAAAGAGAGGAAGGGAGGGAGGGAAGATCAGAGAGAGAGAGAAAGAGATAGAGAGAGAGAAACATCAATGTGAGAGACATCAATTTGTTGCCTCTTGCATGTGCTCCTACTGGGGCCAGGAATCGAACCTGCAACCCAGGTACCTGCCCTTGACCTGAATCGAACCCACAACCCTTGGTGCATGGGCTGATGCTCTAAACACTGAAAAACACTGGCAAGAGCCATTTTAAACCTTTTTAAGTGTACAGTTCAGTGTCATTAGGACATTCACATTGTAATGTAATCATCACTGCTATAATCTCCAGAACTTTTCCATCATCCCAAACTAAAACTCCATATGTATTAAACACCAACTTCCTATTCCCCCTCCCCTAGACTCTGGCAACTCCATCCCACTTTCTGTCTCTACAAATTTGATTATTCTCTATACTTAATATAAGTGAAATCATACAGTATTTGTCCTTTTGTGAGTTGCTTATTCCACTTAGCATCATATCTCCCAGGTTCATCCATGTTGTAGCATGTGTCAGAATTTCCTTTCTTTTTAAAGCTGAATAATATTCCACTGTGTGTGGTACAATCTTTTTGAAAGGCAATTTTGTAGTAATCAAATTGTAAAATTCCATATTCTTTGATACAGCAATAAGAGAATTTACAAGGATGTTACAGCATTATTTTAACAGTGAAAATTTAAAACATTCTACCTATCCATCAGCAAGATAGGTAAAGTGTGAGATATCTGTACTATGAAATACAGGGTGGGGGAAAAAAAAAGTAGGTTTACAGTTGTGAGACAGTTTGCCCTGAAAGAGGCCTGGAACCATGTGCAATCCACAGTGCTAGACAGGGAGATGGGAGAGGTCATGCCTGGAACAGTGTTTCTCAACATGTGAGGGACATTCACAGAAAAGGTTAAATAAAAAGTGAAATTGAGAAACACTGGGTTAGCCGGGCCAGCGTGGCTCAGTAGCTCACCTATGAACCAGGAGGCCACGGTTTGATTCCTGGTCAGGGCACATGCCCTGGTTGTGGGCTCCACCCCCAGTGTGGAATGAGGGGAAGCAGCCGATCAATGATTCTCTCTCATCATTGGTGTTTCCATCTCTCTTTCCCTCTCCCTTTCTTTCTGAAATCAATAAAAATATGTTAAAAAATAAAAGAAGAAGAAAGAAAAACAGTGCGTTAAACAACATTAAACAAAATCTTTTAAGGCAAAACTTCTTGGAGCCTTGAATATAGTAGTGCATATCATAAGTCCCCAGGAGGGAGGTAATAGCTTCCTGAGCCCTTGTGACCACAACATCCTTTTTACAGTGGTTATGTTTGGAGGACAAAGTTTGGGACACATTGATGTTAGAAATTTCTGAAAGTAAAGGTATTCCTTAAGAGGAGTTGTGGTAGGCGTTGTGTGGTCAGACAAGTAGGTTCTAGAACAAATTATAGGGGTTGGCTGATACCTACTAGATGAGAAGCAAACTTTACCACTCAATTTCTGACAACAACAACAAAATAATAATAATTACCTTAAAAAGGGGGGGGGGGAGGACACTAAAGTTAGAATGGAATCAAGAAAGTATGAAAAAAGTAAAATCCCAAAACTTACTTCCCTGTTACTATTGTTGCACTGAGTGCAATATACTTTCCCAGAAATCAGCATGTCTTAGCTTGGAGTCCGCTGAGCCTAATTAAAAGGGAGCCATGACTTGCCCTTTCAGATTATTTAAGGAATGAGCAAAGTGTAATTAAAATGAAGGCTCTTGAGGTTCAGGAAGTCTCATG